TGTAGGCAAGCAGTGTCCGTGTAAACATCCCAGAGGAGGGAGCTGCAGTTGCTAATCGGCACACACTGATCAATCAATCGATACACAGACTCGGTAATGGCTGCTCTTGGTTGTCAACTCAACTTCATCTGGAATTAACTAAATCCCAAGCAGTTGGACACACCTGTGAGGGATTTTTGTTAATTAAGTCTTTTGAAGTGGGAAGACCCACCTTTAATCTGCATCTTTTGAGGCGGGAAGATCTTAAATCAGGACCACACTTGATGGTGGCAGCCTGTATAAAGGAAGAAGGAAGCTTGCTCTCACTCTTGCTGGCAAGTCCATCCCTTCCCTGGCATTAGAGCCTACTTCTTTGGGATTCCAGCATCTACTGAAGACCAGCCGGACCACAGCCTGTAAGCTACTCTAATAAAGCTATCTATCTATCTATCTATCTATCTATCTATCTATCTATCTATCTATCTATCTATCTATATTCTATCAGTTCTATTTCTCTAGAGAATCTTTTTTTTTTTTTTCCAGACAGGGTCTCTCTATGTAGCTTTGCGCCTTTCCTGGAACTCACTTGGTAGCCCAGCCTGGCCTCGAACTCACAGAGATCCGCCTGCCTCTGCCTCCCAAGTGCTGGGATTAAAGGCGTGTGCCACCACCGCCTGGCTTTCTCTAGAGAATCTTAACTAATGCAAACTGCCAAGAAATGGCCTTGCCATTTCTCTTGAGCCTGGTCCATATGGGTAAGGTCTTTGCCATTTGGTCAGGTTACGCCCATGTCAAAATACACATTTAATCCAGATCTTCTGAGGAGGAACAATACACCTTAAGTCACGGCCACACAAAATACACACTCACTTAGGACTTGCTCTCTCAGAGCTTCCTCCACCCCTATAGTTGGTGTGAGAGACAGCTGCAGGGAAGCATGAGTGTTCTTTGTCATGATGGTGATGTGGCTGGGGACCCCTCTGTCACCCCTCGGAAGCATCTATAGAGCAGCTCTGGCATTGCTGTTCACCAGGGCCACCACAGGGATCTTGGAATTAGAAGACATCTCTAAGATAACCTCATGGCAAGGACTTGCCACTGACTCTGCACCCATACCTGGGCCTGGGCAAAAGGATGGCTGCTTTTCTGGCCTAGTGGTCTTTGGGGCTGTGCCTTAGCATCTCATCCTCTCCTGCCTCTCAGATGATGAGCATTTTCCCAAATGGGCTCATCACATCCCTATTCTAGGGCACGTGTGGCCCTTCTGACTCTGTTACTGTCTTAAGCAAAGACTGGAGTCTGTTAAGGGGGGAAGGTGTTCTGGCCAGACAGAGGAGGTTCCCCTGGAACTCTTGACTTCCGGTCTGGCCTCTTGCCCTGAAGGTCAACCTCTTGTGTCCTGTGCTCCCTGCTGCCCATCTGGGTGGCCCCAGCCAACCTGGGGACTAGGTCGGCCCAGCAGCATCCATGGTGGCAGCAATGGCAAGGGTGTCATGACACAAATGAGTCACTGCTGGGCCTGGTTCTCTGTGACTCAGACCGGAAGCCAGTAACCAGCGAAACCAGAAGCTGCTACGAACCTCTCTGGGTTGGAAACCCTGGGTGTGTTTTAAGCTTCTATTTCTAGAAGCCAAAAGGGAAATAAGCCTCAGAAGGACTGATTTACCCATATTCGGCCATGAGGAGAGAGTGGCCTGGTGGAGAGTGGTGGGAGCCAGGGCGCTTGTTTCTTATGAAACGAAAACATACCCTATAGTAGTTTACAGCTGGAGTCCAGGGAGGGAAGCAACTGGAATTAGGCAAATGGACAGTTTGGCACGCAGGTGGGAGGCTGTCCTGGAATGAGGGGATGAGTCAGGCTGGGAAGAGTGGGGCCGTGGGGCTGCAGCAGCCCAGGGGAGGTAGGTGGTGGTGATGCTGCAGGACTAGCAGGGTCAGCCCAGGGGAGGGCTGCGGTGGTGATGTGCAGCAGGAAGGCTGGCCCTGGAGTCAAGAGTTTAAAGCAAAGTAATTTGAAGCCATTTTATCTGATCCTATAAAGGAGGATAGGAGAATCACCATAAAAACTAAAAAAAAAAAAAAAAAAAAGAAAGAAAAAGGAAAAAAGAAAAAAGAAAAAAGTTGTAAAGAATTGTTTTAAAATTTAAAATGGCAAGTTTCCTGCTTCTTGAACCATCTAAACAACTGGATCCCATCTTGAGTGTTACTGGAGTTTTTTAGGGCAGAAGTCTGAGCTTCGACCGCCCTGCAGACTAGGCGCCACCTGTCCCTGTCCCCGGTACACCAGGGAAAGAGACCAGTAACAGGAGAATGGAGAGACAGAAGGTTTGTTTAGTGGAGCAGAACAGATACAGGGGTCCGGTGACTTTGGGGTAAATGGAGGAAGAATTGCCCCCAGGGTCAAGTGGTCTGCATAATGGAGCAGTCCTGGTCAGGGTAGGGGCTGGTTGGTTAGTGTCTCAGTCCCGTTCTGCAAGGCGGTCCGAAGAAATCCTCCCTTGTGGGGATCTGTCTAGGTCCTCCGAGGTGATCACTTCTGCCCCAGGGTTCAGCCTCACAGCTCGGATAGAGGGATAGTTGTCCTCTTTGGGGGACAGTCTCTTTTGAGTCATCCAAGGTGACTGTAGGTTTCAGACAGTGATTTATCTCTGTGCCTTCCGCCTTGAGGGGGGCACAGTAGGTTAGACAGACCCTTCTGGGGTGACTAGCACACCAAGCCGCAGAGCTGAGCGAGTGACTCGAGGGAGGGAGCCGGCTGTAAATGAAGGCGGGGATGCCAGGCTCCCATTTTGCTTTCAGCTGCCTTGTGAGCCCACGTGAGCAGTCCGTGCCTTTAGCAGCAGCAGCAGCTTCTAAGTGCCCGCTCTCCGAGGAGCAGCAGCGAGGGGTTTGGCCTCTCTGCTGTGCATGGCAAGCTCCCCAGGGAGAAGATAGAAAGGCCCTTGGCACTGATAAGGTATTGCTAAGGGAGCTGCCTGCTGGCTGACTCCTGGCCATCCACATCTGGGCTTGTTTGATAAAATGCCTAGGCTT